TTAGTTTTATTTTATTTTAATGTATTTTAATTCACTTTAATGAATTTTTTAACATACTTTTATTTGTGGTTCTGGTCTGTGACCATAATAAAGATTCGATTCGATTCGATTCGATTCTATTCTATTCTATCAGAGCAGAAGAGGTTGCAGTCTTCTTAAAAGAGGTTTGTACCACCCTTACCATCACGGTTATATTGACATCTTAATTTATTAAGAAGAGATTTTTTTTTGTTGTATTTGTAGAGAAAATGATGTTACTGTGTTAAAAGGAAAGGAAAGGAATATGATTTGATTAAGGTTAAAAGATAGATAGATAGACAGATAGATATTTCTGGTAACTTAGTGGATTTTTGCTGATTAGGACTGAATGATGGGGCTTTATAATGTGTTTATAGATAAGATATGAGTTATGAGAAGAAGAGATATTTTGATGAAATGTTAGAGAAAGTAATAAGTGACTGAAATTGTACTTTTCTTGATGAAGGAAGAAGTAATTTATTTATATAACTTTTTTCTTTGTTTCTTTTTCTTTTATTCTGCACGTTTTCTTTTTTCTTTTTATATTTTTCTTAGTCTGTATTAGTTTTTTATCTTTGTATTTTTAAACTTAAATAAAAATTATTATTTAATTACTTCCACTGCTGGTGGGTAATTCTGCACTAGGCTACATCAATGAATTCAACGTTTTGTTTAATAACAAAACATGTTGAGACATTGAACACCATAACGCTTTTATTACTATACATGGTGAGGGTAGCAAAGCCAGAAACATAAAAGGTGCAGGCAGTGGTAACTATTCTAATAAGAGTGATCAGATCTGCTTACATTTGCAAGCCAATTAACATGTGTAACGTAATGAGAAACCTTGATCTCTGTGTAAACCACAGTACATGAGATTGAAGCTTTCAAATACATTTTAGATCGGCTATTTCACAATCTGCTGTGAATTTCTGGTCCTCGTCACTTCCTTGTTAATGGACAGTCACCCTCAGCTCAGTGGCCAAGTGTCCTGCGGTCTGAGGTGTCTGGAATGATGGCATTTTTGTCAGAGGGGTTTTTTGTTCTTCGGTGCAGAAAGTGTCCGATCAAATAGTGGGGCATTGTGGGCATCTGGAGAAAGAGCGAGTGTCTATGGGTGGCGGAGTTCTCAGAGGAGACGTGGACCTGTCGCAAGGCTTGCTGTTGGCCACTAAAGTCTCTGTTGTTTTGCTGCAAGTGGCTAACTCTGATACCCTCAAAAGCTCATTTATTTAATGCTATCGTTACAGTCAAATGTAGCATTACTATTTTATGCACCACTTTTTATGCCTCTTCTTGGTATCCCTGAATTATGATTATGAGGACACAACATACCAGTAAATATAAATAAGCATACAAAGCATGTTAGTTTTTGGAAAATAATATTATTTTTTGTAAATAATTTAACTGTCACGTTGTATCTGCTGTACGTTCACCTTGAACGCAATAACTGCAGAATATATTAAAAAAACCAGGTGGACTTAGGTGGGAGCAAGTCTCATTAAAGCCCAGTGAGGCTCTCTTCTGAGTAAACCAGGATAGGCTCGGGACAATGGCTAGATACAGCTTCTTCAGATATAGGTTTCAACTGGCCACTGTAATTTCTGGTCATCCAGCAGCAAAGCTGGATCTAGGAGCATCCCTCTCTGGCCAGTCCTCCTGGCCAAGAGTGCCTCTGCCTGCTCGGGTGAGGTGCCCCTGCCTGGCACCTTCATGGCTTTCCAATGGTTCCCGTGCAGCTGAAACCTTCTTGGAGAAACAGTGAACCAGGAGCACTGCAGACCTTTGTTCCTACCTGCAGTTTGAGTTCAATGTCCCTTAAGATAAACGCCTTCAGGGGGTGAAAGGAGAGCATGACCTCCACCCGCTCCCCGGCTTCCACAACGCCATTATCTGGGGAGATGGCAAAATACTGCTGGAACTTTCTGGCATTGCAGAACTCCCAGGAAAAGATGAAGTTGAATTTGCCAGTGTTGAGGATGGAGAAGTTACACTCTGCATAATCATTCACTTGCATCTGTCCAGAGTAGAGAGAAGACAGTTAACTGCTTCCACCCCTCCCTCCAGTTGCAACCAAAAGTCAAATCCTCCTCCCCAAAGCGAGACCCGTCTTGGGTTTCCTCTGCCAGCCAAATGAATGCTACAGCAGCCACAACAAGACGCCGAAGGGGATTCCAAATTGGGCGCTAGAGGGATTGACTGTTCTAAAATCTTGGCCTAACGATGGATTATAAATGCTTAACATGGAATATAAATGGAGGAAATACTGCCCAGAAGAGGGGGAAAAAAATTGAAAAAGTTAAAACAAGACATGATTTGCCCACTTGAGATACATAGTAGGAAAAAAGACATAACAATATTTGATTTATAACTATTTGGGTGAAGAATTTATTTCAGCAGGAATGAAAAAAATGGAGTTATTTTATATATAAATCATCAGCTATATCCAAAACTTATATTGACTGATGATCATGGCAGATATATTGGGGTAAAAATACACAAGGTAAACTACCAAAGATTATTTATTTATTTATTTATTTATTTAATGGATAATTGGGAGCTTGTTGATGCATGGAGACATAAAAATGGTGACCCCAAAAAATACACTTATTTTTCTGAAAGAAAGACATGGCTCTTTTTCAAGAATAGATATGATTTGGATTTCTAAGACTTTGGCTATTAATGTTCATAAAATGGAGACATTATCAGAGACTTTCTCAGATCACTGAATGACTTTAACTTTTAAAAGGAAAAATGGCTCTCTTGGGTGGAGATTGAATGAGATTTTTTTTTTTAAGATTTTTTAATCCCACCTTTATTATTTTTATAAATAACTCAAGGCAGCGAACATAGCTAATACGCCTTCCTCCTCCTACTTCCCCCCCAACAACCACCCTGTGAGGTGGGCTGGGCTGAGGGAGAGGGACTGGCCCAAAGTCACCCGGCCTAAGCCTTTCACGCCTCAGGCGGGACTAGAACTCGCCGTCTCCCGCTTTCTAGCCTGGGGGCTTCACCACGAGACCAAACTGCCTCTCATATATACTGCATATATATTTTTTGTTACAAAAGGAAACGGTAGTGGAGGATTGCAAAAAGAACTTAAAGGAATTTTTTGAGAGTAATCTTAATAAAGGTACAGAAGTAAGGATGGTTTGGGACACAAGTAGAGCTTTTGTAAGGGGATATTACTTATGTATGAACGTGGTTTTTTATCGTATTTTAATTAATATTTATTTTTTGTTTTTACTGTAAACCTCCCAGAGTCACTTTCTAGTGAGATGGGAGTGACCAAATTTGAAATATAAATAAATAAATAAATAAAATAAAATCCGCAACCTTCCACGCCGGCTTCCCCAGAAAGTCAAAGGGGAGCCAGCCGGGAAGATCGCTGTGCGCCCCCCCGGCCTCTCGGCACTCACACGCACTGGCCCCTCGCTCCCGCCCCCGCATGGCAGCAGCCACTTACCTGCCTGCGGGCCTGGGACTTGCGCCCATACTTCCCCTCTCCCCCCCCCCCCCTTTTTTTGGTTGGTGGGGGGGGGGGGGTGGGCGGT